CGCATGAAACCTGCACAGTGTTGGCCTAACCCCTGGGACACAGATCCCCCACTTGGGGACCATTGGGCCATATATGGTAATATGCAAGCACGGGAAAGTGATGTGCAGATTTGGGGATAAATACCCATCGCACAGTTCGCTCGAGGAGGTCTTCGCAACACACGTACCACCGTGCGTGTGCCTTCTCGTATACTTCAAAGCGCTGCCGGCCTGATCAACGGACCAGCCACCTCTCCCGACTCTCGGGTATAACCTCGGCCTTCGCAACCGAACCGATATCTGTGAAATGTTCCGTGTGCCGTGTACGTTGGTATGTAGGATTTGATTTTTTCTTGTAGTATAAGCTTAGTGTTGTAGTTGTTTTGGGTAGTACATAGAGTTTGTAGTTATCACTGTTATTTAATTAGTGTAGCTGGATATTTTAAGATTAGAGACTATTCCCCTTGCCATTCCCATCCTTATATCTGACACGTTTAACTAGAAATCATAGAATAAATATAATAAATACTGTAAATTCATTATTAACACGGTCTATTAAAAATCTTAGAATAAATACTATAAATTCACCACTGTCATAAATAAATATTTTTTATTTGATAAAACTGTCCACCTGGTTCTGTCCTTCCCCCCCTTGGGTATGCATCATCGGACCTGTGATTCTCACGACAGCCCTCATTCCAAAATTATTGCCCACAATATAATAAATACTGTAAATTCATTATTAACACGGTCTATTAAAAATCTTAGAATAAATACTATAAATTCACCACTGTCATAAATAAATATTTTTTATTTGATAAAACTGTCCACCTGGTTCTGTCCTTCCCCCCCTTGGGTATGCATCATCGGACCTGTGATTCTCACGACAGCCCTCATTCCAAAATTATTGCCCACCTCTGCTGTAGAGAATGCGGTTTTCACACAAACTTTGGCTGTGAACTAGAACTAAGGATAACATTTTTCTAAAAGCATGCAAGAGGCTAAACCTCACGTCCTAAGTGTATTCCTTGCAGCATCCAGCCCCATATCACCTGAACACCCTCAGAAACACCAGGCCTACTTTTCCCAAAGGAAGAGTATACAACCAGCTGGCAAGACTCAACTCCAGATCACCACTTTGCTTTATATCACAGAATTTACATTATATTTATAGCAAAAACAAGGATAAGTTTATTATCAAAGTACCAAAATACAAGGGACAGTAAGAACACTGACACCAAAGGGTTTCATATAAAAACAAAATCATAACCATTTTTGTCTAGAAAGCAAGTTAACAGTTGCTCATCAAAACATTGAAGGTAACACCCTCAATGACTCTTACACATTTAAAACTCACAAAGTATCCCCTACTCCAGGTCTAATTTTACACACCAATGATGCATACATCAAAGTAAGATAAACAGAACCAGAGGATCATGACATGAAGATTGACAGGTTACATGAAATAATTTGCTCAAAGCATCTTTATGTATATTCATGTCCATAAGTCCATTTAATAAATCATGGGGGGGGGGGGGGGGGGGAAAGAAGAAGAGTGTCACAGATGGATTTCCACTCCATACATCTGAAGCATCAGTAATCTCAATGGACCCATGGGAAGGGTGACAGGAGAGGGATCACTTGAGGATTTCCTGTTCTGTTCATTCCCTGTGGCCTGACCCACTATGGCTGTTCTTATGTTCTGTTAGCCAATTGCATGGGATTTTACACCCCGGTGCCTACACACCCCTTAGAGCGGTCACTCCTAAGGCACCCTTTGGACATGCGTTTCCCAAGACGAGGGATGAGCAGCGTGATAGGCGGTGCCTACACACCCCTTAGAACGGGGTAAGTACTTCACGCCTAAGGCACCCTTTGGACATGCGTTTCCCAAGACGAGGGATGAGCAGCGTGATAGGCTTGTCTCTGGAGCCGCACGTAACGTTCTTTGATACATTAAAATGCCAGTGT